TCAAAAAAATTATTTTAACTCTGCAGAGTTAAAGTTCTGCATAAGGAATAAGAAAACAAAAGGAATGATTGAGCCCCTAGTATGTAAATTTTATGTGTTACTTCAGTTAGTCTTGTGAACTCTGAAAATAAAAGCTATCATTCAGTATATACTGTATGTCTGTCTGGCTCTATGCTAGGGATTTACATTTTTTCTCTCATTTAATCTTTATAATGACTTTATAAGGTAAATATTATTCTCATATTAAAAATCAGAACTGCAGCAGAAAAAGTTTAAACCATTTGTCCAAGATTTCCAAATCTGGAAAACCATAGAGTGGAAAATATAATTTAGGTTTAACTCATTATAAATGCTGTGTCCTTCCTAGTTATTAATTTTTTAGAATACTTTTTTCAAATTCAAAAGCATTTTTGCTGTATTTTCTGAACACATATTGAGAAGGGTCTTTGTTGTGATATGGATGTGACCTGGCTGCCAAGGACAGTGGACTGGTATGAGCATGTGTGAACGATGATGACCTCACCGTACTAGTCAGTGGGGGCAGTAGATGCTGTTGAATGAACGTGTGTACTGTGTGGCCGTCACATTCAAAATGACTGAGCGAGGAGAGCAAGGAATCTGCATTAAAATACTCAGATGATTAAGAAAGCCAAATCTATGGGCAGCTGGTGATTGGAGCTTCACCACGACAACCTGACTGCTCCTGCATCATGTCTCATGCAGAGATTTTTGGCAAAACACCAAATTACCCAGACAACTCAGCCCTGCTACAGTCCAAACTTGACACCCTGCAACTTCTGGCTTTTCCCAAAACTGAAATCACCTTTGAAAAGGAAGAGACTTCAGATAGTCAATGAGATTCAGGAAAATACGATGGGGCAGCTGATGGCAATTAGGAAAACTGTGTGAGGTCCCAAGGTGCCTGTTTTGAAGGGGACTGAGACATCATTGTCCTATGTACAATGTTTCCTGTATATTCTTCAATAAGACCTCTATGTCTCATATTACATGGCTGTGTGCCTTCTGGACAAACCTCATATGTTATATGCAATAAAGAATTTATTTAAAAAATGTAATTCATGTTGAATACAGCAAATGTGAAAGATGGATAAGCACAGAGTAGATGGGTTTTTGTGTTTCCACACAAATTCTAGGATTTATTCCTATTGCTGTGAAAAATGTCATTGGAGTTTTGATAGGGATTGTGTTGAATTTGTAGATTGCTTTGGTAATGTGGACATTTCAATAACACTGATTCTTCCAATCCATGAGCATGAAATATTTTTCCATTTTTTTTGAGTCATCTTCAATTTCTTTCCTTAATGTCTTATTGTTTTCAGTATACATGTTGCCCACCTTGGTTAAATTTATCCCTGGGTATTTTATTGTTTTTGATGCAATTGTAAATGGGATTATTGTCTTTCTTTTTCTGATAATTCATTGTTAATGTATAAAAATGTAGCAGATTTTTGTTATTTGGTATCCTGTAACATTACATACTTATTAGTTCTAACGGTTTTTGATGGAGTGTCTAGGGTTTTCTATGTATCCTACGTGTCATCTGCAAATAGTATAACTTCTTTTTTTTCCAATTTGGATGACTTTTCTTTCTTTTTCTTGCCTAATTGCTCTGGATAGGACTTCCAATACTATATTAAATAAGTGTGGTGACAGTGGGCATCCTTGTCTTGTCCCTAATCTTAGAGGAAAAGCTTTCAGCTTTTCACCATTAAATAGGATGTTAATTGTGGGCTTGTCATATATGGACTTTGTTATGTTATGTTCCCTTTGTTCCTGCTTTATCATAATTGATGTTGAATTTTGTCAAATGCTTCTTCTACAACTATTGAGATGATCATGATTTTCATCCATTTTGTTAATATGGTGTATCACATTGACTAATTTATAGATGTTAAATCAGCCTGGCATCCCTGAATAAAACCCACTTGATCATAGTGTTTGATCCTTTTAATGTATTAATCTGCTTTTATTTTGTTGAGGATTTTTGCATTTATTTTAATCAGGGATACTGCTCTCTAATATTCTTTTCTTGTGTCCTTGTCTAGTATTGGTATCAGGGTATGCCATGCTGGCCTCAAAATAAGAGTGGAAGAGTTCCCTCTTCTTCTGTTTTTTTTGGAAGAGTTTGAGGACTAGTATTAATTTTTCATTGAATGTTTGACAGAATTTACCAATGAAGCCGTCTAGTCAAAAACTTTTCTTTGAGTACTGATTCAGTCCCCTTACTAGTTCAGATTCTCTTATTTCTTCATGACTCAGTCTTAGTAGGCTTTATGTTTTTAGAATTTATCCATTTTCTTTATTGTACAATTTGACTTATAATTGTTCATAGTAGTCTCTTATGATCTTTTGTATTTCTGTGGTAAGACTTGTAATATCTCCTCTTTCATTTCTGATTTTATTTGGGTTCTCTTTTTGTTTGGTGAGTTTAGCTAAAGGACCTATGGGTTCTTAAACAGGTACCACTACATTTAATTATGTTTAATAGTGCATTATGAATATTTAAATGAATTGTCAGACATGTCTTCTATTGCAGAAAAAAAAAGCTTTTAACATTCAAAGCCTACAAGGTTACTTAAATCCTTCAAATTAAAAAAAATGCCATTATTGCATTATTTTCCTCTTAGAACTCTTCTAGGTCTGATAAGAAAGGAGGCAGTGTTAATGGAAAGGTCAGTGAACTAGCAGGCAGGAATAATGGTTTCTAGTTTTGCCTGTGCCACTGAATCAAAGCCTCATTGTAGACAAGTCTCAACTTATTTGAACTTCAGTTTCCTGAGCTGTAAAAATGAGAGTATTGGGCAGTATTTCAAAGGATACCTAGAGCCAAATAATTAAGACATTGGGGATTTGCCCACATATCAAACTTTTGTTGGCTCTAGCTGGTTGGGTCATTTGGTTGTAGCATCATCTCATGTATCAAAAGGTTGTGGGTTTGATCCCTGGTCAGGGGTACATATGGGAGGCAACTGATTGATATTTCCCTTTCACATTGATGTTTCTCTCTCTCTCTCTCCCTTCCTATCTCTCTAAAATCAATAAACATATCCTCAGATGAGAATTAAAAAAAACTATGACAATAAGTAATGAATTAATAAAACAGAAATTGGAAAGAATATACGCATCCCTATGTTCATTGCAGCATATATAGTCAAGACCTGGAAACAGTCCAAGTGCCCATCAGTAGATGAGTGGATCGAAAAATGGCATACTATATGCAGTGGCAAAAAGGAAGGAAATTTTACCTTTTGTGATAGCATAGATGGACCTGGAGATTATTATGCTAAGTGAATAAGCCAGACAGAGAAAGACAAATATTGTATGACCTCACTTATATGTGGAATCTAATGAACCAAATAGAAACAGAGGCATGCATACGTGGAACAGACTGACAGCTGTCAGAAGGGAAGGGGTGGGGGACTGGATCAAAGAAGTTAAAGGCATTAGCCGAAACACATATATACATAACTCATAGACACAGACAACAGTGTGGTGACAGCCAAGAGGAAAAGGGGGGTGGGGACTAGGTGGAGGTGGGCAAATGGGGGTAGGAGAGCCTGGGGGCATGGGCATGGAGAGACTTTGCTTGGGGCGTGGGCACAGTACGCAGTGTGTGGATTGTTTTATTGAGTTTCTTTTGAAACCTGTATGGTTTTGTGAACCAATGTCATCCCCAGAAATTCAGCTAATAAAAAAATAAAACAAGTGGGAGAATAGAGTTTGCCATCTTTATTTGCAGACAGAGCAGAGACAATGTGTTTCCTGTCTCTTCCACAAGTAGCCATGGGAAAGGAGGGGGGAGAGAACAGGGACAGGATGTGCTTCCCTGACATGTCACTCACCAGCCTGTATCTTTAAATTTTTTAATGGCCATCAGACCTGACATCCCAGGAGTCCATCCCACAAAACAAAATTAGAAATAACTTGTTATGAAGACTAAATAAGTGCTTGATTTCATTTTCAGTTCTTATACCTTTTTCAAGTCTGGACTCACGGTGACAATTTCAGGGACTTTGGAGAAGGATAACATTTACAGAGAAACAGCTGAAAGGACTTTGGTGTTCCTTCGGTAGCCTAATACTGCTGCCAGTTTGCAGGAGAACCGTGGAGAAACTGGGAACTGGACAAGTGAAACTGGAGAAGTGCCTGGACACCTAAGACAGTTCTAGGGCGCAGAAAGGGGCTTTGTTCTTTCTTAAAGGCACTGTGAGATTGACTATATACTTGACAACTTCCCTTTGATGACAGGAAATGTCATTTATCTTTATGTCCCCTGCTACAGATATAACCAACAATCAAGTATTTGTTGAGTCGAACTGAGTAAAAACTGCCCGGGAATAAGGCAGGTAGAAGGAAAACGAAATAACATAGCCTTGGATATCTGAAACTTAAAAGATTTACTGCACGATTAACTACAAAGGGAAAGCGACTTCAGCGGAGCACTTTTTCAGATGAGGCGTCAACAAACCAGAACAGGAGAGGTGACCAGAGTTCATGTTAAGTGAAAACCGAGGCGGCAACAGGTTTGAACTCCTGAGTGAAAAGGGGAGATGCGACAGCAACGTGCAGATTGATTGCACTTTTTCAGATGAGATGTCAACACCCGAAGGGAGAGGTCTGAGTCCTGGAGCTCGACTGACGAGGCTCGCTTTGAGCTTGTTTCTTAACAGAACTACCAGGAAGCTCTAAAAGACGTGCAGCTCGAGCTGGTATCTTGGCCTAATAACTTCCGTGTGTGTGGGTGCGCAACGGGGAGCGCCGCCAGTGGACTTCCGCGTGCGGGAGACCTCCGGTCCCCGCCCGGCTGCGCCACGCCCAGCCCTTAAGAAAACGCGCGCCACCCGCCTGGGCCACCCCCACAGCCGCGGGCGGGGCAGCGGGCGCGCCGCAGTCCTTCGTAGCCCCGAGGGCCGCCCGGCCACGCTCGCCGTCGCCACGCCCCAGGACTACATTTCCCAGCAAGCCCAGGGCCGCCCGCGCGCCGCAGTTGACCCATTTCCCGGCCCGTCCCGGGCTCGGCCGGCCCCCGCGCCGAGGCGGCAGCTCCCTGCTGACTGGGGTGTGGGCGGGGAGCGGCGGAGGGAGGAGGAGGCGCTGCTGGCCGCCGCCGTTGCCTCGGCTGCTAGGCGCTGGGCAGCTCACTGGGCTTCTGCGGCCGCCATGGACGAGCAGGCGGGGCCCGGCGTCTTCTTCAGCAACAACCACCCGGGTGCTGGCGGTGCCAAGGGTCTCGGGCCTCTGGCGGAGACGGCCGGGGACGGGGCGGCTGCGGCGGGGGCGGCCCGAGCTCAGTACAGCCTCCCGGGGATCCTGCACTTCCTGCAGCACGAGTGGGCCCGCTTCGAGGTGGAGAGAGCCCAGTGGGAGGTGGAGCGGGCGGAGCTGCAGGTAAAGACCCTCCCGGCCTGGCCCTCTTCATCCCGCCTCTTCGCTCCCTTTTGCCCCGCCCCGGACCCTTCCCCCTCCCCGTCCAGCCCTCGCTGGTCCCCTCCTCTTTGCTCCCACCCTTCGCACCCAGGACGGTCCCCTTCCCCCCTTCACCTTTGCCTGCCCCCACTTGACCCGGGCTCCCACTCCCGCCCTGATGCGTTGTTTATCCTCCCCGCTCCTTTTCGTTTGCTCCCTCTTTCTCTTAACTCTGTCTCATTTCAGCTCTCTTGGCATCCCACATTCTAGGTCGTCTTCATTTTCAGTATACTAATTGGGCTAACAGGAGCTTTGAAAGACGCGTGGCAAGTCATCCATCCTCAGTCCTAGGTTTAGAGACGTTCCCGCAGCAGGTATTGGCACTTGGCTTTTCTGAGAGGAAGGTGATCAAAGGAGATAACAGAAGTTGTGTCTCTGAGGCCTGGACTTGAGGCGAGAAGCTGCCGTTGGGGGAAAGTGTTACTAGGAATATCTGCTCTCTTTTTACATATGTAAATGTTTCTTCTCTTCTTCCCACTCCCTCACCCCCTCCCGCGTTTCTTTTAAGTATTTCAGATTCATGGATTTTAAATGAAGGACCTAGATGATCAGAGTCAGGTGATAGTTCAGAGACGGTTTCCTGTTCTCAGATTCTGAAACTTCCCGAGGATTAATTTTATGCTCAGTGTTTTGTGAGATTGACTTTTACATTAAAAAGAACGAAAAGGGGCTTTAAAGTTGGTTACATTTCCTGCATAACCTGCAAGGTAAAGCATATCCAGGGAGGAGCTATGGTGGGCTCCTAGAAGGATGAAAGTGAGGCTGTGATACAGGCCATTCTGAACTGCTAAGCAGGTTTCTCTGGCTGTTCGTAAAACTTCCAAGCCGGACACCAGTTTCACAAGGAAAGTAAAGAACTGTGAGTGGCTGTGCCTTTCAGCGTTGCTGGCTAATCCTAGATGCTTATGAAATCATAGTATAGTTTTGGTTGGTGAAACACTTTGTTAAAATGCTAACCAGTGTGTCACTTTTTTTTTTTTTTTTTGGTAACATGTATTTTCTTTGGCACTTAAGAAAAAGGAAAGGAGAAGTCTGTGAAGTAGAATCTGTGCTGAAGTAGGCTGCTTTGGTGTAGTTCAAGTGGCAGTGGAAGGAGCCAGGAGCCAGGGTTATAGTCTGGGCTGGGTTTGCTGCTAGCTGTGTGACCTTGAGGAAATCCTTTACCCTCTCTGAACTTCATTTTCATCACTTAGTTATTGGCTCATTTAGTGGCAGGTGTGTGCCTCCAGGCCCCAGGGTTAACACAATTGACAAAGCCTCTGCCCTCATAGAGTTTATGTTTTAGTCAGGAGGCAGTCAGTAAATGCAATGGTGGCAAGTGCTATGAGAAGAATAAATCAGGGTACAGGGATAGAGTGTGGTAGGGGTCGCTATTTTAGATGGGGTGGTCAGGGAAGGCCTCTGGAACTAGTTGAATGAGGTGAGGGAGTGACCCATCTTTTCTGAGCTTCCTCCTTGTTCTTTATATTTCTGTTATTTGGTGGCTTTCTTGTTCCTACTGTTGTGTTACTTTAGTATCTAGTCTTTTGATACTTGTAATGTTTCTTGTAATGAGTCTGTGTACATGTCTGTATAGTAACCATCAGACTTAAGTGCTTCATTCAAATTTACTGGTAATTCACCTTTGTTAGCAATGAATTCCGTGAATGAGTTTGTGGATTTCAGACTTCAAGAAGTGTTAAAGGCAGGCTTTAACTTTAATGTTGTGAAGTTGTGGAGATGATTTTAATGTGGGATCACTTAAATTTTAATTCCTTTTCCTATTTAGGGACTGTAAGATTAGTCACAATAATTTGCTCAAAAACAAACAAGAAAACAACTCTTAGCTTCCTACCTGTGGAAGTTTGGGAATTTCCAACCCATGTCACCCCACTGTGTTTAAACTTTAAATTTACCTGTAACTGTAGCCACTCTTCAATTTTGCATGCACACACACAGCATCCTGGGTTATTTATGGCGAACGTTGAACTTAAGATAGGTTTCCCATTGGTGCTGATTATATTAAGGACACTACATTTTTATAGTACCTTTTGTTCTGTGCTCAAATTATATTAAGCATCCATGGAGAAACTTAAGAAAAATGTATCATATTTTCCAAACAGAGCAAGTGTTATATATTTTTGGGGGGAAAGAGTTTGCAAGAACCTGAGGTTTTCGACCCCCTTATTAGTGTTATTGAAATATGTAAAAAATACATAAACATGTATTTTCAAAAATCACATCTTTACATCAACATCATTAAATTTGAACATACCCCTTTATTTTTCTTTTGTCATTAGAATTTTCCTAGAAAAACAATAGGAATTAAGAGTCAAATGAGTGATTATGATACTTGGTGTCTTCCTTTTAATTTTTAAATTTCTTCTACAGTCCTTAACACCAAGATTAAGATTATACCTTTAAGATTAAGTCTAATTTTTCCCTTTAGGAACCTGTCAGTCTTGCTCTTTCAGATTGCCAGGGCAGAATTGTGAAAGGCAATCCGAGTGCTCATCTATCTATCTACCTGGCCCGCCTTCACCACTTCCTCCTTCAGATCTTGAGAATAAGAACTGGTCACATGGTAAAAACTTACTTGTCACTTTGTTCTCCCTGGCCCATTTGAGTTAATATGTGACTCTCCTTTTACTTTTCATCATTCTTCCCCACCCCCCACCACCATGCAGATGAGAATAGGTAATTCATGGGAAAAGAATGGTCAAAATTATTACTGGGCTTTGTAGTTGTGAAAGGAATTGGAAATGGGATACACTGCATTTGAGAGAGCTTGGTGTGACACACTTTGGGCTAGATTACCTGAAAGATGTATGCAGTCTAGTCACAGTGCTGGAACAAACAAAATGCAGAAGAATCAGTGTTTATCATTTTCGGGGTTTAAGTTTTCTTAGAAAAGCACAGAAGAGCTTAGCAGTGAGTGGGGAGAATCTCAGGAAGAAAGAACTTTATGAGGCAATGAGAACCTAAGGCGCAGTATTTGAAAATTACTGACTTATGGGAAAGCAAGTGTGTAAACAAGAAGTAAATGTTAATGCCCTAGATTTTGGGGGCAGGGAGTGTGTCTGGTGTGTAGTAGGGGAGGCTCTGTTATTTTCCTGGAAATGCTACAACTGTGAAAAAGGTATTGTGATTGGGCAGCTTAGGGCCTGTGGTGTGGAGGCTGATACTAGCATGTTCGTGAGTCTGGGTTTTGGCATTAGTGATCCGTATTTTCATTTAGCAGATGTTTTTCAAGCGCCTACTTCATGCCAGGTCCTGTTCTGGGCACTGGCGAAGCAACATTGATTCAAACAGATCCTTCCTACATGGAGTTAAATGGCGGGGGAAGACAGACAGTCATAAATAAATGCACTCTTAAACTGTTAGGTGGTAGTAAGTGCTGTGAGAAAGGGTGGTCAGTTGGATATGGAGTGCTTGAGAGGGTCGAGTGTGGGAGAAGGGCTTTGCTGAAGAGGTGCCACTTGAGCAAGACCGAGTGGGTGAAATCGGAGGACGTGTTCGCGGCAGAAGGAACAGCAGGGGAAAGGAAAAAGCTTATGCTGTCCGAAGAACAGCGAGGCAGGTTTCGCTGGAGTAGCGGAGGCGGGTAGAAGAAATGATGTCAGAGATACTGAGTCTTGCCATGGTAAGGACTTGAGATTTTTACCTCAGCAAGATGGACAACTATTGAAATGTTTTGAGCAAAAGAGTGATACTATCTTTAAACAGAGCCCTTTGCTAGGATTCTGAGTAGACGTGGAGGGGAGACGATGTAGGAAAGGCAGAGTCTCGGTGGGAGGCTTGCTGAGCAGTCCAGGCCAGAGGTGAGCTAGAGTGTCAGTAATGAGAAACGGGATTATGTGTTTTGATACACATTCAGAATATAATGGATTCTGAACACATTTTTGAAGGTAGACTCAGCAAGATGTGCTGGAGGATAGGATGTGAGATTTGAGAAAACAGGACTCAGAAGTGTTTTGACTGAGCATCTTCATGGGACTGTTGACAAGACTTACTGAGCATTTAAATGGACACGGTGGACACTTAAGATAACAGTTTATTTTTTATAACTATTACAATTACAGTGAAAGGCAACACAGCATAGATCTCGATTTAAGTCTTTGCACTAAGACTTAACTTTTATTTTGCGCCAAAAATATATATTTGTCATAACTCTGGGCTCTCGAGCCTTAGTTTCCTCGTGTGTAAGATGAGGTTAATAAACTACCTTGTGAGAATTGAATGAGATGTTGTAAAGTATCTAGCAGAGGCTTGATACATAACACAAAGTAAGTGCTGAATAAATAAATAAATGGTACTGAGTGCATGATGCTAAATTTGTGTATCTCTGTTTGTACAGAAAAGCAAATATTTCAGTCATCAACTCTTCTAAAGCTAGAGCATGTAAGTGCTGTCCTGGAACAATGCAGTCTAATGTTCTGGGTCCGATGGTGGCACTAAGGGATATTTAACAGGAGCCAGCCTCAAAATATTGATAATATACTTCAAATGTACTTGCTTTACTTAATAACTCACTATGTGTGTGTTTGTTATCTTAAAATTTACGTTAACATTTCTGCATTTGTCTTAACTATGCATGACTTCTTGGGTAACAAATTATATACATTTACTAACCATTCTATAAAACTAATTTTTGGTTTTATTTGGGCACTTAAATAAACTTGGAGCAGTTGCACTCCTCTGTGGTATGGTGGTGTATTTGTAAACATTCAGTTTTTATTGTGGTCATCCTTGATAATTTTATAATCTTTAATTATATATTAGAAAGATTGTGGAGGTTTTACTCTTTTAAAATATATCCTAATATTTGTCCCTTTATTTTAGTATTTCTCAACTTTAGCTGCAAAATTAGAATAATCGGGGGGAACTTTTTTTTTAAAAGATTTTATTTATTTATTTTTAGAGAGGGAAGGGAGGGAGAAAGA